GCATTTGACAAATGAAGCTCTGCCCAGCGCTGTCCAGACTGTCCCGCTGCTAATTATATAATTAATTTCGACTGCCTTTCTAATGCGCTTTGCTGCAATCGATTGTTGGACTAAAAGCCTGCGCAAACATTTGCCCTGCACTTGGCCGAAAAAAAGAGCCGCTCACAAAAAGCTTTTGCCAAACAGACACGCCAAAAAGAAAAAATAGACAATGCATTGCAGTTGGGCGTATGCGATGGCATAATGCTCGTTCGTCACACGAAAATGGGTAAAATTTAGATGGGAATAATAGATCTATCGTAAGTCAAGCTAGCCTCAGCCTCAAGTCTATAATGGATATAATTTTAATCTTAAGCCAGATTAGACCAACACTCGAATGCAACGAATATGCTCACATTGCGGTTTCATGAACGTGCATAAAAAATCATTTGATGTGCAAATACTTACGCAAAAGCTGAAACTAAAGCGGGGGAATTACCTAGAGCTGGGACTGCAACAGCAACTGTGTTCAATGTTTGCTCTGTTGCCACATGCCGCATGCCACATGCCGCATGCCACATGCCGTATGCCACTTGCCAAACGCCGCTTGCCTCATTGTCTGCAACTGAATCTCAGTCTAATGACTTTGGCCATTTGAACAGCAACGCCAGCTAATTGAGATAAAATACAATTTAATGCGCATGCTAACGGTTAATTTGTTTTTCTTTTCGTATTCCCTCTTTAAATTGCTTTCTTTACCCTTTTAGTTTGCCAAATGGAATTCAATATGCAATTACGCTATAAATGTAGAGCTTTAAGTTGACTATGGTCTGGCTTTCTCTCTCTCTCTCTCTCTCTCTCGTGTGCTGTATCACATCATAGCAATAGATATCTGAAGAATCTCAATATTTATTTGTATCCCTCTCCCACCTCTCACACCTCTCTATTCGTCTCTCTTTTTCTTTCTATTCGTCTCTCTCTCTTTATTCGTCTCTCTCTCTCTTTATTCGTGTCTCTCCCTCACTCTCCCTCTCTCTCTTTCATTATTCGTCGCTCACCTCTCGTTCTGTCACTGTATTTGTCATTCAATTTTATACTTACTCTAAAGTAACTCTTTTATGTCTATCTCTCTGTCTCTCTCTCTCTCTTTCTCCCTCTCTCTCCTCTCTCTCTCTCATTCTTTCTCTCTTATTCTTTCTTTTAATTTGACAATTTGCTCATCTTCCTTCATTGTCATCGTTTTTTGAAGAGTATTTCATACATTTTTCTACAACTTGTAGTTTCCTCCCTCTTTTCCCTTTCTCTCTCTTTCTTTCTACTGCTGAGGTCTCCTTTCTTTGTCATGGTCCTTCACTCATATCTGCCTTTATCTTAACTTCTTTCCTTTGTTTCCTAATATGAACATATCCCTCTAGCGATTCCCCACATCATCATTTCTAATCCTATTTCTAGAACAATATTTACCCTTATCTCTTTTCTCTTTTACTCTCACTATGGCCATTTCCATCCCACACATTTGCTACTTCATTATTGCACTACAAAGCCAGTCTATGGAATATGTGGATAAATTTGCTTTGGAAAACAAATTAATATGCATTCGTCTGCTCTCGCATCTGTATCTGTCTGGCTATATTAACTCTTTAGCACCTGAAGCTCTCAGTTGGTTCAAATGCCGTTTTGGCCATAAGCACTGCACAGAGCCAAGTTTTGCAATAATAGTTTTTGTGGTTCTTTTGGTTTGCAACACGAAATGTTCATAAGTTGCACGTTGCCAGTTGTTAGTTGCATGTTGCCTACATTTGAGAGCACATTTTGGCAAAATGCAAAACTTGGAATGTGCTAGGATATATCTATGTCTCCTCTACCTCCCTCCCTCCCTCTCCACTTTCTCTATCTCTGTCTCTTTCTATATTCTAATACAGTTCTTAGCAATTATGTTGGCTGCTGCTGCCAGTTGCTCTGGCAAAGCCGCATTAACAAGAGCTCATCGTTCAATGTGTCAATTGCTGCAGCAGCAGCAACAGCAACTTGCAACCAGCTGGGGCAGCAACAGCCACAACAAGTTTTCCGTTTCGTAGCCACATTTGCCAATGACAACTGATACAGAACGTAGCTGTAAGCTGAAAGCTGACAGCTCCAAAACATAAAACATAAAACTGACTGCAACAATTCTCCACCTCTCCACTCTCTCTCTCCCTCTCTCTCTCTCTCCATTGCTCTGCATTTTACTGGCAATATTTTACATCCACAAGTTTGTGTTTTATTATTTTCCAAGCAGCAGTTGTCTTGTTCTATATCTCTATCTCTGTGCGTGTGTGTGTTTGTGTCTCTCTCCCTCTCTCTCTCTCTCTCTCTCTCTCTCTATCTGTGTTGGCCAAACTAACAAGCGGCAAATCGGTTGGCAACACCCGCCGCAACTCTCACACTTCTGTCGCTGCCCTTCCCTCACTTTTACTCGCCCTCTCCCTCTCTCTCTATCCATTTCCCTGTCTCCCTTTCTCCCTCTTAGTTAACCACAAAACCGAAAAACCGTTGGGCACCAATCGCTGCGCATTGCGGTCAACAATTTTGATTGTTTTGTGGCCAAGTTAAAGTTAGCTTGCCAATAACTAAACTGCGGCCGGAAAGCTCTATCTCCACCCTTCCCTACTTGCACCTCCCTGTCCGCCTCTGCGCTCTGCCCTTTGCACTCTGCTTTTCCTTATCTCCTGCTGCTCGCCCAAAATTTTCCCAGCAGTTGCTTCTGTTGTTTGTCTGCGGCTTTGGCTTTATTGGCACGCCAATCAACATTAAACAAGCATAACCAACTATAGATATTCACCTGGAAGTCAGATCATATTTATGGGCACCGGCTGCTAGACTAGCTCATACCCTGTAGCAAACTAGGCTAAAATTGATTAGAGTACAGCATATTGCTTGACTAGCAGCTAAATAATTTGACTTATATTAAGTAGTAAAAACTACTCTCTAGTAATAACTGCTATGCTCAAAATACCCTGGAATTTTCTTATATAGGTTATATATCAAATTTCCATATATGCATGTTGCCTGATCTGAAGATATCATGTAATTAGCATTAAATTTTATGTAATTCACTGAAAAGCTTCCACTGGAAACTCTAATAAACAATGCTCAGCTGCAAGATATCCTGTAATTTTATTATAAAGCTGACAATTTATAAAATATTTTTTATTTTATTTTTACATTTATTTATTATTA